TTTCAAATGAATTAATTATGAACCTTTGCAATTGTATGAAATTAATCATTTTAAAATTGTTAAACTTTTTAATGATTGAGTTGAAAATGATATGTCTTAGTCAAAACATTCAACTAATAGCCACCGCAGTTTATTGGTTCAATAAGCCCCACCTATTAACATTAGTGTTCACTTCTTGAGGAAAAAAAATGTCTCACAAACGAATGAACAAATTTTAACTAAGTGTTGTAGCTACTTGAAGTCGAATTAATAAAGAAAGAACTCTTGTCTATCAGTTAACAGTTATATAGCAATCGACATCGTAATCTTTGGACTATGAGGTTTAGATGTCAAATGGCTAAGGATAGTTGTCGGGATACCCTGAATTAGTAGTCATGTTAGAATTTGATTGTTTCGACTCAATGCAAATTAAGATCTGGACAAACATGATATCTGTTTGCAATTGATGATCAGTTAATTTAAATATCTCAATCTTACAGGTCAAAGGCTGCTTCAGTTGATAAATAGTATAGCCTTCAAATTTGAGGCTGGTTGGTCCGAGTTCGAAACCCACAGAGTACGTGATTTCCCTCAAGATCCTAGATAACTTTTCCCAATGTACAGGAACAAGCACTAAACCAAAGCCTCAAGTTTTCTGATAGTTATTTTTAGTTACTTAATATTTAAATATTCGCCTATGCTATGCCTTATTTTATCATGTAATATATACGCATAGGTGTTTTTAAAGTAATTTCTAATGCAGAACATCACATTATGCTTTCATTTCTGTCTCTTGTAACGCATCAGTAATGAAAATTTTATTAGTATAAAATACTATTATTGAATAAAATTGTTTATTTATATGTATCTATGTTTGTTTACAAATAAAAATATATTTACTTACTTACAAACATATATATATCTGTTAGCCAGGCCTGTAATCTTTCACATCCATTAATTATCTTCTCTTTTTGTTGAAAAATAAATGAACCAGTTCATCTTATAAGTATCAAACGTGAGACAGTTATCTACCTCAGGCAATTGAAGATAGTTCAGCACTATTACGAGTTGATTAAAGTTAGAAGTGAACATCATTTGACACTGACTAATTGGGTTCGATCCTCTTTTGAGCTATAGTGGATGTGCATTGATAAGTGCGTTCTATACTAGAACAAAGCAGCTTTACAGTTTTTCTTGTTTCTCAATAGTGGCGTTCAGTGAAGATCAGTTCGTGACTAAAACTGTGAAAACTTTTTGTATTTTACCAATGCGTAGGTGATAATTTTGTCTGTGTTTCTCTTCATTGTGACTTATGTTTGTACTTTCTTTGTATTGACTAATTTTTCTACTTAACCTGTAGCTTCATTATCAGTATCGACCTTTGAATTTATCGTACAACAAACCGGTGAGTTGGAATACAATAAAGTTAATATTTTTGATCCCAGCCAATCTGTAACATAACATTACTATCATTCAGTACTGTTAGTGATTTATTACTTCAGTCGTTTATCAAAAGATTCTGATTTTTAAAAGTCTAACGCCTTAATCGATACGTATTACTAACATAAAGTCTCAGACTATGATGAAACACCACACCTAATGCTTTTTAGATTTGAATAATTCTCCAATAGTTTCTAATCATGATGAAACCATCTAAATTGACTTCCATCCACCATGATACTTCAAAGAAACATAAGTTCAGTGTTCCCTTAGTTTCTATTGGTCAGCAATAAGTATGGTTAAACTACAACACACACACACACACAGATATGCCCTCGGATTCGCATAGACACTCATACACTGACTAAAACCACATAAAATCCTTATTTCCTAGTATTATAACCATATTAATTTTAATAATAACAACAATTAATAATAATAATATAATTATTATCATAGTTTATCAGTCAATTAATTATTGATACTTTTTTCAAATGATATATGTTTGTAGCAAATATTTTACAGGGATTAAATGTATATTTATCTATCACAATTATTGCAAATAATTCTTCAATAAATATTAGTAATAATGATAATTATTATTATTATTACGATTATTATTATTATTATTATAACTGGTGGTATAATTAGTAGCATATTAATAAGTTTCTGCCGAAAATTAAGTTTCCCCCGACAGCACTACAAAAATTATTTTAAAACGAATATTAATGACATTTTTGCATATAAATTTATGTGTGTCTATTTATAATTTATCACAATAATTATTAAAAATTATTATTATTATTATTATTATTATATTGTTATTATAATGATTATGATAATTAATTTTAAAATGGTTAAGTGACAGAATTCAATTAGTTAAATTTAATTAAATAATTTATTATTTTGTCTATCTCTCTACCTCCGTCTCATACACATACACACATATACATTATATATATATATATATATATATATATATATATACTCTCTTTGCTCGCTATCTCTCTTGTATTTGGCCTTAATTATTCTCGCTGCCGTAATAATATTTAACATTTTGATAAGTCGGTTAATTATGCTTGTTCAGCAATTAAGCAGTAATTAATTAGGTATAAATAATATTAATGTGTACATCTAATAATGCATATATATATATTGTGTGTTTGTGTACACTACGCACTCTAATAGGCGATAGTGAAACGACTGCACTTGAGTGTATGTGTATTTTACATATTATGCCTATACATGTAATTGTCTACAACGAATAATTCAGGATGGAAAGATGAACGAGTTTTGTGTAGAGTGGCATAATAATAATAATAATAATAATAATAATAATAATAATAATAATAATAATAATAATAATAATAATGCTCGTTCAATTAATATCGAGAGCATACAAATGAAAATGAATAATTAACTAATCTTTTTATTACAGATATTTATGTTATTTATTTCTCGTAATTATATCTATTGAAAACATTATGTGCTTCAGAAAAAAAACGACTTTTGTGAACATTTTATAATTAGGAAAATTTATAAAGTCGACTATTTTATGCGATGATACAACTCAATATGAGGGATCATATCTAAATAATGTGTAAATTATTATCGTATATATTTCATAGTTTACATTATATTGATTAAACAATCACCGAAAACTAAGAAGGTCTAAGGAGCTAACCAGTTATTAATAAATATATCCAGTTACTATGTTATGCTTTTGAAGGTAGAAATCAATGGATGAAAATCTAATTTGAAAGGTTTCTGTTGAAATAATTCAGAAAATGTTGAAAACTATGCTTCAGAAAATGATGAGAAAAATAAATACTCCGAAAATTTAAATATTTAGACAATTTCAGTTAATCAGTATAGGTTGGTGGAGATTGCTAAGTTTGTGATTGAGATCATGAATAGATTGATGTTAAACCACCATTGAAAAATTGGAGTCCCATAATAGAACGAAACGGCTATTCCGTGTTTCCAGGTTTTCAACGGTGGTTAAACATCAATCGATTTATCATCTCCATTTCAGTCTACTCACCAATGACTTTCTGAAGATCAAGTGCAGATTTGTGCCTGTCATAAATGTCATTGAGTGATTGTTTCGTTGTATCGATAATTAATAGTTATATCATTGGTCTTCGACTCAGTGATTCTAATAATTCAAGTTTCCGCTGAGCGACCCGAAAATTTTAGGTAATGGTTGGTATTCGATGATTATATCTCGTATTTTAAAACTCCATCACTCTAAAATCTTTAGAATTTCTCTTATCGTTTTGTCTGAAACAGCAGCAAGTTTTAATAATAACTCCAATAAATCCATTATGAAGCTATTCGAACTAAGTGAGAAGTGAATTTTAGTGCTCTTTAATTCTATAGTATAAACATCTGGTGTACGTTATAAATATGGATCAAACAAATTTCTACACTGTAATCCAATGATATTATCCTCATCAAGGAACCTAACGACCCCGAATTCAACCCCATGTAAAATCATTTAGCGCGTGCACATACAGGAATCAAACAACTAATCCAGTTGGCTAGTGCTGCATAGTTTTCAATTTGTGGTGGGAAAATCACTTATGCAAACCATTTTTTTCTTTTTTTTTCCGAAGTGATATCAAAACTCAGTACAATAGAGAAAAACTAAAATGGTTTTCTTAATAGAAATATATAATAACATATAAAATGATATATACGTGAGAAATAACTTACATCCATTCATTCAGTCAATTACACCTTAGTTTATTAGTTAAAATTTTGCTTCTAAGAATCAATTCACTAAATTCATCATTTATTTTTTAGTCTTCGTAGTTAATACTTCTCTAACATTTCAAAAGTTTTCTTCCAGTTTTAAATTCCGGTATTCCAGAGTCATAATTACCATTTGGTCAGGTAACTATCAGTAACGGTAATACTACTACGAACAATAATAATACCACTATTATTATTATTATTATTATTATTATTATTATTATTATTATTGATGTTTTCTACTCTTAAGCTGTTTTTCTCTAGTCACTTATTTACACCTCTATTGTTCCTTACTCATTTGGGACACCTGAATTCACTGATTAATCTAATTATAAACAAAAATGGTGTAAAGGTAAACAAAATTACTAATTCATACATTCTAAATATTTTATTGGTTGTTCAATGTTCAATTATTCTTTGTTTTATTATTAGTAATTATAGTTTTTTCTTTATTTTTATTTTCATTTTATCCATTCGGTTCACTGTTCATCTATCCATTCATCTATGCGTTCGTCAATAATTTCATATACACATATATACAAATATTCACTGAATTTATAATTAATTTGTCTGCTACTCATCTATCTCATTTACTCATGTTTCCCATAAATACAAAAATATATGTATATGAATATAAATGTGTATTCTTCATTCATCATTCTGTCACATCTGGTCGGTGATTTGTTAAACAAAAATTATATTTATTCGATCGATTGTCGACTCATTCATTTCATCTATTCATTCATTCGTATTCTATGCACACACACACACACCACATATACACATTGATATACATAAATGTCTTTTTCAACTTGTTTAATTAGTCTCTTCAAAATCTGAACGAATCGATCGAAGCATGTTTTCTTCCCTTTTCCTTCCAACAATCTCTCAAACAATGGCTAAATCAAATCGTATAATTCCAAATCAATTAAATAATTTACTACTACCTAATTTAATGCATTCTGATGATTATTATACAAAAACAACTATGACGACTACTACTGATACTAGTACTACCAACACTACTGACAACAATGTAAGTAGTATTGAAAATAATTCTAATCGCACGAATAATTCAAATGGACAAAATTTTTTGCATGTTCATGAAGATAATCTAAATCCAACATCATCACATCAATCAGATCAAAGTATACATGGTAAATTAAGTCCATTATCTGGACAAATGAATGGAATAGACCCATCTGGATCACCGCCAACAATCCATTCACCGATCACTAATGATAACAATAAAAGTAAAAAAGCTAGACATAGGTGAGTAGTTGTGATTGGTCGTTATCGTTATTTTCTATTTGGATTTTAAGAACAAATTATTCTTTATGATCACACTAATATTAATTAAATGGGTTCCTCTAGACGAGGGTAATTTTATAGCAAAACGTTGAAAGAATATACTTAAATAATTAAACGAAGGGTAACGCTATCTTACGTTATCAAAAGAATCGAAGTTGAAAAATGACTTTGAGATTTTGGAGTATTTAGAAATCTATAAAGTAGTTTACCAAAATGCATCATACTAGGATGTCAATCATGGACCACATAATGATCAGTTGAAGTGAATAAAACATCATTAGGTGTACATAAAATGTTGGATTGACGAAGAGAACACTCACGTGAAAATTTGGGAATGAAATAACTCTGCATCAGTGTACAGAAACACAAGACAAAACCAATGTTAGAGTTAGGATTAAGAGTTCGTGTATATACAAACGTATCCTAAATTCTAACCCTTGATCATGTTCATAGATTCTAATAGTTAAGTACCTATGATAAACTTATGAAAGTTGAATATTCAGGTGAAAACTATATATTCTCCGTAACTTCTTTGATCTCATACTACATTTCAATCATTCATTTATGTTGTTCTTTAAATAGCTAAAACTATATAACATTTCAAGGTTATTCGGCAGTATGCTTTACCTTCACCAAACCACATACATTCATTATGATCTATAGAAAATTCTATACTTGATTTACTCCACAAGTTTTTTGAACAGTTCCTGTCGTGAACACAGAGATGGTGATTGACTAATTAACTGATATTGATAAAGGTGTAGACTCAATCCTTTAATTTAACATCATCATTAGTGCTTTTTTATGGTGTACAAGCACTGGCATACTTTATATCACGAATCATGAGAGATAAACGTTTTGTGTTCAGTACTTGGCGAAATGGTTGACGTACACTGAAAGTCTTAGTCTTCAAGGGAAGTAACCGTTCAATTCATCACGCTTCTCCATAGTGCCCTAACTAACGTCAGTTCGTGGCTTGATTTTTGCAAAAAAACAAATACGCGGGCATGCATATATATAACGAATAATGGAAATCATTTAGGAGTCGTAGCAGTAGTGTGAGTAGTACTAAGTAAGAAAAAATCGGCACCTCGGATACTTAGACTTATGTGAAGCCCCTATCACATGAAAACTCGTAATTTTATTATATGTGCTTAAAAAAGATAATTCCAATGATCCTGGTGCAATAATATAAATATTGACATTGATTACCGAAGATAGTGTGGATAATCTTCTATCTCATTATTTATGTTTGTTTTATATTCTCGATTATCTAGTTTTTTGGTTTATCGTTTTTTATGCTTGTCTTAATAAGGAAACGTATGTTGTCAGATTATTGTGCGCTAGTTATTAATCGCTAAATAGTAACCAACACTATATTTATTCAGTCTTATAACGGTGATCAAAATTTACCTGTCAACTTACAATGTGTCACCAATTTAAGTGACTTGACTTCACCTGAGCTGTATTGAATTGCTAGGTGAGTCATAATAGTCAGTAGGTATCCCTGGACGTAGGTTGTGTGCCACTTGTCACTCATCAGCAATATTTATGTGTAATTCTAAAGGAAATGATGGTCTTTGTATGATTCGAACCCACACTATTCAACCTCGGGCTTCCAGACATTACAACTGCGAAGTTATGTGCGTTCAAATCCTACACTGAGGATTACTTCCTTCAATATTACAGGTATGTTTTGATTACTGCTACATGATAAGCGTCTTCACATAACATTGTTCATATTACTATAGAAAGGGACCAAACGCTTTAAACATGAAATAAACAACGAGAATCTTTAATTGCCCAACATTTTGTCACATTATTACTGATAATAATTTTATTATTATTAGAGTTACTACTGTCAATAAAATTTGATTTTTTTTCAGTTAATAGGCTTTTTACAATGTTAAATGCCATTTTTGCTGTGCTACACACTATTATATATGTATATGTGTATGTTTGTGTCACCTTTTCTGCACCATTAGTACGAGTTTAATGAAAAACAAACATTTCATTCATAAAAAAGTCATTATGTTGTTTCTTTTGTGTTTATGTGTGTGTGTGTATGTGGATACCACTAACTTCTTCTAGCCTTTTTGTTTATATTGGACACTAGTCATATATGACTGACATGTATAGTAACATGTTTTAATAGTATTGACCTTATTCTGTCAGTCAAGTTTTGTAAAATTATCAGAAATGTGTTAATTGACTGAAGAATTATTTCATGTCTATAAATACAGTATGATTGTAGTCTGGATAGTCGATTATATTTTGGAAAAGATTTGTAATTTCTTGAGATTGATATTCATGGCTTCAAAGGATAAGTGTACTAGAAGTTCTTACTGATACCTTTGTATCTGTTTAATGAAGTTGATAGATAATTGAAATCGATAGCCCAGTGGTTAAATATACATAGGGTATTTTAAGCGAAAAGTACTGGATTCAAGTCTCTGTGTGAACATTAATAATGAACTGTGGGCATATTCAAACGGTGAGCCGAAAAATAGGATGAATGTAAGCGTTAGAAGTATACCAAATCGAATAAAATTGGACTGCATTTGTTTGTAGTGTAACTACTGAGAAAAAATCATAAGCGTAAAAGCTTGGAACTTTTGCAATGCTGAACGGTCCTCTGAGAAATTTCATTGAAATCACTAACTTATCTAAATTAGACAACCATGGAAAGCCTGAAAGCTATGAAGGTCCGTCTCGTCATCATATGGAACTTTCCAGTAGTGCTCATCTCTCAATGAGCAACCAGAACTTAAATCAATGATCATGTCTACAGACCATTGAACCTTGTCGAAACGGAACCCATCGAAAGAAATCGAAGGTGGTTGCACAATATCGTGAACTGACTTAAGTATGCGCACGTGAGATCGGTGGACTCAGGTTTGAGTCCTGATTGTGAAGTTAGTGATGAGCACTACTAGGGAGTCCCATATAATGACGAGACGGTCGTCAAGTGTTCTTAGGTTTTCAGTGATTGTCTAAGTTATATTAGTTCGTGATGTAAATAACACCCAACAATTTTCACAACTCCATACTAATATACATGAAATTACTTCCAAACGATGACAATGTTTTTCCTCTGTTGGATTATAATAAAATGGGTCAATATATTCAGTAGTTACGATAGTCGCGCAGACCGTAACCAGATGATCTTAACTTACTTATTCGCCCTAGTTTGACAGTCAGTGATTCCATAGACTGAAAACTAATCACTAGTAAACATGTTGTTATTAGTAGTATGGAATGTTTGTAGAAATTTGCGAAATTTATGGTCCAATGCTTCCTGTTTTTTTCTAAATGTTGTCTAACTATGATCAGTTCATGATATAGATATAGAAATATAAATTTAAAAAATTCTAAACAGACAATTAATGATGGTAATGTGATATAACTTTTTTTTCAAAAACATTATTATTAAATCTGTTCCTTATTTTACAGAACAACATTTTCAGTTCAACAGTTGTCAATTTTAGAAGCAGCATTTGATAATTGTCCATATCCTGACGCTGTAACACGAGAAGATATTGCGTCCAAATTGTCACTCAGTGAATCACGTGTACAAGTATGGTTTCAAAATCGTCGTGCTAAATGGCGCAAACAAGAAGGTAGTCAATTATTAACCAATGGTAATAATTCAAATAATACTTGTACTCCTACTAATAATGTTAGTAACACTACTTCGACTACTGCTACTACTAATAATAATATCAATAGTATCATTACATCCACAGCATCGATGGCATCATCCTCTTCGACGTCATCATCTTCATCTAATTTATTAACTGTTGAAAATGATGAAGAAGATTTACGAATAAATACAACAAATATTTTAGAAACACGACTTTTGACAACAACAACAACAACACCAACAGGTCGTAAAAGAGTTTCTGGTTCAAGTGTACAGCAACAACATCATCACCAACAGAAAAATAGTTATTCTAATTATAATGATTTTAAACAAATCAATGATGATACAGATGGAATGATAATCAATCCAATTTCACCAACTCATTTCAATTTATCATTGATTACAAATGATCTTTTAAATAATTATCATCAACAATTGAGAAATTTTTCATTTCTCAATGATAATATAAAATATACAACATCACCATCATCAACATCAATTACTCCACCAATTCATAGTGACTTAGTGAATTGTTCTAATCAAACAACAATGTTTAATGATAATTTATTCAATACAACTAAATCAACAGAATTAATAAATTCACAATTATTTGATAAATCATCAATAAAAACTATTGGAAATAATAAACACCAAACTATTAATTCTAATTTAAATTGTTTAATTAAATCATCTGTAAATAATAATCGGCATTATCAGCATTATTTATCGAGTAGAAAATCAACTCCAACTACTTGTAAACAACGTAAACATACTATGAAAAATATCAGTAATAATTATGATAATGATAATACTGATCATGGTGATCCTGTTAATGCTGATGATCATGACTTTGATAATGATATTGATGATGGTGATGATGATGATGATGATGATGAAATGGACAAGACTAGAACAATGGGAGTGAATAACTCAAAAACGAGAGATTTACCATTTTCTGTTTTATCGCTTACAGCCAATAATAATAATAATAGTAATGTTAGTAATAATAATAATGATAACTATAACAGTATAAATGATCCATTTGCAAAACTTCAATCATCATCCAAACTGTTTTATCAAAATCTCATAAAATCTATAAAATCAATTAATAATATTGATAATCATGAAAAGAAAAATTCCACTTCTCTCAATTCTTCATCATCTACTTCAATCCCGTTAAATGAGATCAACTGTTCAATGAATGAATTGAATCCTACTGAAGACGTATCGAAATTTTTAACGAATCTATCTGATTTCGGTGTTTTTATGAATTCATTATTGAAATCTAAATTAAATCTCTTGACAAAAACATCAACTTTATCTGACTGTAATGGAAGTAATCATGATCCATGTCTAAATACTCTGAATGATAATACAACTAGTACTAATGCTACTCAAATTACTAATACTACTACTAATAATAATAGTAGTAATACTGTGATTGATAATGTTGTTCAAAATTCAATTTTAGAAAATTTGATAACTTCCTGTCCACAATTCCCTTTCAATTTACAATATTTAAATGGTACACAATTAAATCAGCATGGACTAGATTTGAAGGTGGAGTCAGATACAAATAAACAAATTAGTAAGCATATATATATTATTAATTGGTTTGATTATTTTGCAACAGTTTTTAAAAATATAAAATAAATTTGAATAATTATATACATTAATTGGGCCAACCACATTTCGAGGTGTACATTATTTTAACGGAGACTGAACATGATTCAGTGCTTATTATCAATAAAGGGGACAATTAGACTATATTAATAAATAAATTTGGAAAGTTTATTAAATTTTTGCATTATAGTCTTGCTCAAATTAAACAGCCATTGAAAATTAAGAAACACTATCTGACTATTTCATCCTGACTTCATGATACACTTGAACAAGTGTCCATCCACAACTATCTCGTGATAATTGTCGAATTTAAAGTCACTCCATAATGCATTATTATAAATTGCACAGCTGTTATTTATTGTTAAACAATAAAAAGAATCAGTTAAGGTGATATACATGCAGAATGATAGAGGACATGAGAAGAATAGGAGAATAAGTGTTAAGAATAGATAGTTACTAACAGATAACATACTTAGAAAAGGTTAATAGTTAGTATCAATATGAGGAAATTTATTAAAGGACGGGAAAAAGATAAAAAGTATGAGAGCGAGTGTGAAACAGGAACAGAACAATGAAACCCGATAAGTAAGAACAGACAGAGGTGAAATAAAAGATTCAGATAGATGTTGATCCGTTTTTTTGTGTGTATGATCGACATAAATGACATCGTTTATCTTATCTATAAAATACATAAGAAGTATTAATAGTAGTAGTAATAGTAGTAGTAGCAGTAGTAGTAGTAGTAATGACATTAGTAATAATTATAAAAGATCGAGATAATCAATTATTCTAAAATAAATGATGGAACCAGACAAATTGAAACTGGCACAGACACACAAGCTAAATAAGACATTTAGTCATAGGGGGAGATGTTATTCTGAGAAGAAGCAGGATAGAGTAAAAACAAAATTAACTTTTTTCCATAGCAGAAAAAGAGAGACAGCCTCTCTCTTTTCTTCATTAAAAACACAATTTAAATATGACTGAGGTAAGACAATTAAAAAAACCCAGTAACACACAAAAAGAAAAACCGAATCAAGGATAGAACTACATTAATTCAACATTGATTAATTAATTCATTATTTAAATTCATTAAAAAATTAAAGAGGAAAACTAGTAGGTGAGGAAGAAGACGATGACAAAGAACAAAAGACCAATAAAGAAACTAATTTATATAAGAATCTAAGCCCAAAAACTTATCACATCTACATGACTAAAATTATTTTACATCTAATTATCAACCATGTGGAAAAAAAGTAACCAAGATTTATGTATTTTAGTGTACTTCTATGTATGTTACTTATTTACGTGGAAATAACTTCTCCCTTTATATGTATGTTTGTGTGTATGTGATAGAAAGATTTCAAACAAATCACATGTCGAACTTATTAAAGAGAGACGGATTAAAAATAATTGAAAGTCCGAAAGAGTACGAGTGGTTAGTGCTTGAGAGAGAGGGAGAGAGAAAGACAGATTGTGTGCATCCATAGTGGAAGCACAAGAGCTAGTTGAAATCAACAAGACATGTTAATAATTACGTCTGAAATTCTTAATTAATAATGTAATATTATTCTCTCACACATATATGTACCCACGCATTTAAGTCTATTGTAGTCTTTATCAAGAGTATAGATCATGACTACGTTTATAATTTTTTGCAAAAACAAAATATTATTCATTGCCTGTCATACAAGAGATGATGATATCACAGTAAGTTACGCGAAAGTGAACTGATTCTGGAAGTTATACACAAAAGATAAGACAAAGAATATATATATATATATTAAAATATAGAAATATCAAGTGTTAAGTGGTTGATGGTAGTTGGAAGGCAACTAAGACCTATTTTTCATGCTGGCTGATAGCCATCAACAAGGCTTAACTGCAATATTAAGATTCCAATCTGCATCATACAGTTTCATAGACCGAGACGTTATCTCCAGGCTACTTGAGCGTCCATTGGCCTCTTGTAGGACTAAGACATTTACATCAAGGGATCACCGATTTACAACCAATTAAAAATTTATCCAGTCGTTGTTACTGATCGAATTTTTATCCATAACGCTTCAATATGACCATTAGTCTGAATGGTTTGACGTTGCATGCATCTTGCTGAGAAACATGAATTTAAATAATTCCAATGTTTCGTCCAGCAAACTTGTCTGGACTTCCTCAGAATAGTAATCATAATCAAAGTTATCAAAGAATATATAATGTTTGACAATCAAGTCAAATATAAACGTTGGAATTATTTAAATTTCAATTACTGAGATTACTTAAATCATAATTTTCACGTATAATGTTTTTTCAAAACTCGGAGCCCAATTTTTTTCAAACTCTTTGTCCTAATATTGACGAATATTCGTAGAAGATAAGAAAAATTGTTTAGTGGATTGAAGCCTTAGTATTTAAGGCGTCTGGTTTTCAGTTATTAGGTCGCAGATTTGAATCCCACTTTACCTCCTACTGTTTGGGCAGTCAAGCAATTTACATAAAAGTGCAATTAATTAATCTCTGAGTAGTAACCAATCCCATATATGTCAAGTCCTTCTTTAATTCTGTTAATTATATTAGTCAATTTGCAACATGGCTACTAGTATAAGTAACCGAACACCACATGCACTACGTTAGGTATTTAGAGTTAGTCCAATAATAAGCTTGTCAGATCCAGAATAGCATAGCCATAATGTCTCAGATAGCCAAGCTGAATGATTTGGGTTCGAATCCGATGGGGGACACCAGTTTTCTCAAGATATCAGGTAAACCATATTGATGAGTACCAACCTGGGTTAAACCTATGTTGGGTAGGAGTTCCAACCGTCTAACACACGAAAAAAAACAATCAACATGGACGGAGATTTTCATGGCTTCATAATTGGAAGATAGCTTATACCACCGGTTAAATAACTTATCTAACTAAATAATCATTAAAAATTTCAAAATAATCCAATAATTGTTTCGTTCTAGGACGGAATCTCGTCAACAGTGTTTATCCCCAACAAAAATCGATCCCTAGACGTTTAGATTATTCATTGCGTTTTGGATCCAAATGATTTTCTAAGTAAAAGGCAAGAACTACATGTGTAATTTTACTTTCAAGATTAGTTCATGTACGGAAAGTGACAGTATACCTATGTTTATATGTAACCTTGACATTCTTGAAGCTAAAAACGGTGACATCATTAATAATTATTGATACAGATCATAATATTTAAACCACTATTTTCTATGATTCTCTTGGAGGTTTCACAAGAAACGCTGATTGGTTGAACCATTTTCACAGTTTCTAAAGTCTTTTTCGAGTAATTTTTCAGGTTTCCATCCAGCTAACACAATTAACATGAGTAGTATGGTTACCAAGTTAAAAAAATTCAATAGAATGAACAGTCACATTTATCAGATCAATAATCTATTTTCTTAGTCTATTAATTTTTAATTGAATTTAAAAAGAAAAGAATAAACAATTCCTCTTAGTACACGTACACACGCACACATATCGATACATATAAAAGGGGAATTAAAATCTACCTACTATTTATTTCCTCACACAATAAGATTTTCCTCTCAAGGAAACCCATCAATTAACTAATAAAGTCCACGATAATAATAATAATAATAATGATTACTATTGTTGTTATTGTTATCATAACCAATACTATCTAAATGGGACAGTTCAACAAACAAACAAACTAGCTAACAACTAAATACAACCCTATAAAAATCAATAAGATATATTTCTTTATTTTTAAATAAGTAACATGAAACATCCCATAATTATAGGATTTAATTCAATTTACAATTTTTTTGTAGCCTTTTTTATGATAACAAAATAAGTAATGTGTCTTGTCTTATCGTGTTTCTGTGTTACCATTTTAATTTCAACTTTGTTTATATATATATATATATATATATATATATATATATATATATATATTGATTTGGTTTTCTGGTTGTTTGAAATTAGACTATGTAAATACCTGCACAGTCAGTCATATGGTAAGGCATTTGAGTTAAAAAGAGGATAGAATTTTGTTTGCATAAGCCTCTTCATATATATGCGCAATTATAAGTGAAGTGAAATCTTCGAGATAATAGATTAAACAATTAGGACATAAACCAAAAATAGAGATTATCATAAATCTAAACCTAATAACCAATTAGGAAGGGTTTTTTTCAATTTTGCTATCTTTGTCTTTATTTGCTACTTACTTCTTGATCTCTCTTTCTCTCTGTCTTTCTTTCGATATTTATTCCGAATTAATAATTATATATCACATTTATTCAGAGAGAGAGAGAGAGAGAGAAATCGATAATACATAATTATCTGGACAATTCTTTGATAGTCAGATGTACAATTGTTTGTCTACTAATTAATAAGCACTGAATGGAGGGAGCAAGATACATATAACTTATTAACATTATGACTATTTTTCGAGAGCGAGGGTGTGATTTTCAATAACAGTTAATCTTTTATGAGACAGAAAACATATTTTAATTTTACCTTTTTTAGCTACTTATAATTTGATTAAGTAGACTAAAAACTCACCAAAAATAAATATGACAAATGATGTCCTATTTGTTAATACTGAAATTTTCTATTATTCTCAAAAATTTCTCGTTTGGATTGGCAGAACCTGTACCTGGTATCCAGTAAATAGGACGAATAAAAGGCAACTTATTTCACTAGACGAATGTTTCAATCTTAATTTTACTGAAACGTATTTATTGTCTTGTGTAATTCATGTTTTTAAAAATTTTAAATGTGTCGTCTTGAATAGGTTTGAATAAATTCAGCGACAAGTCATTTTAATTGAACTATTCATATTTCGAAATCTCTCAGTTTTGAGAATATACTTACGTACATTCACATGAGTGTAAGAATAGTGAAAGTAATTAGAATTTTTAGGAAATTAAATGATCTTAAACTTAGTAAATATTTTAATTTACTTAAATTAACTTTTACATGATCGACAGTATTCTCTTCATTGCTTCTTATAACAAATTGAATATATATGAAGAGAAATGAATTGTTTATAATAATAATAATAAACTGAAGTGATTTTGTATTAGATATTGCCTTTTTTTTCTATTTCCCTCTCGTGGTTTTTCTCTTGTTTTCATTTATGAGAAATAATAATGTAAGTGTCAATTGTAGTAATATATGACAAAAAATTGTTTTAATTGAATGACAGTCTATTAATTTTCAATCAATTTCTATGTTTAAACTCTTTTCATACTTGAGATTTCCTCAATATACATGTATGCGTTTGTGCGGTGATTTTGTTTGTGTTAAATATTTGAGAAATTAAATTGAAATCTTTCTATTTCACACAAATATTGACACACAAACATACAAATTCATATTTGGCAATTGTGCCCATGAAGTGGATTTTATATTTTGAAGGTCAAGTTGTTTGTTCTTCTTATTTATTTATTTGTTTTTAAATGTGATAAATAAAAGAAGGGGGGTTTCTGAAATTTACAAACAGAATTCCACCACTTTTTTAATCGGTTTTTGTATGTGTGTGTTGATATATGTTTACTTCAAATTTTGGTTATGTTGGAAAAGGGTATCGTGAAGATGAGTTTATTTTGTAAGTTGTATACGTCACAGATTGATCTCACTTAGAGTACTTTTTTAAAACTAAAGAGTATTGGATAGTTATTTAAACCTAATAGAATTTTCAGTGGTACATCAACAGATCAATTTGTGATGAATGCAACCTTCACAAAACCCCTTTGACTGAACTATAATGGTTAGTCCGCTAGTGAATTAATAAAGGATATTTCTGAAGTTCTAGTGAGAAGTAGAGAGAAAACATAAAGGGATTGAAATAGTTGTCATAAATGGTGTTGTATGATCATTGAGCCATATATAAAATTGACTTAGTTTAGAATTGTACCACTGGATATTGACCTCGTAGTTCTAGCCGTTGAACACTCTCTACGAGACCAGAAGGTCCTTGATTTGATTCCCTGAGGGTCGTCGGTGAGGATTATTGAAAATTCGTATTCTAAGACCAACTCAGATATCCGGTAACTTCTGTTTTCTAGTGGTCTCACAACTGAGATTAATTTATGACGAATACAATCTATGAATAAATACTCCGTTAATCTCAAGTTTATTTTATGATTTTACAAATATTTCGTTCAATTTAAAAATAAACGCTGATTACTAACAGACATCATACAATGAACTTCAATACTACTCAATACTACTCGATTATCATTCTGAACAATACGAAATCAATATACCTGAAATCATTCTTTGTATATGGCATCATCGTAGGTTTACTGAATCATTGAATCCAGTCAGTCAAGTGTTTCCAAATTCAGTAGATTTAAGATTTGTTTTAGGATCTTTATTCCACGTTGTCAATGTACAATGTGGAACTAACTTTCTGTTCTCTACTATTTCTTTGTTGATCTCAGTTCATAACTATGATGATTAGGAGTATTTGAATTATAGCATGAGCTAAGAATCCCAGAAATAATGTAATCGGATCAAGAAGTATTAGATAAGTACAAACGAATGCACTGTATTTGGACTTTGAAATCAAGCATTAAACACGTACAAAGGAATCATTAGTTCATTCAAACACCACAATAACATATGATTTAATCTCATGTTATTTTACCGATCGATATCAATTTTAGTTATCTTTAACCGCTATACTTAATATTAATTTTGTATATATATATACAAGATTTTCTAAAAATAACAGCTGAAAGAGGAAAAATGAGTTAAGCCTTCAAATTCGGTCAACAAGTATTTGGTTTTTGAGGATTAGTTCACTTCCCAGATAATGCTTTTACCATAAACTAATATCAGTTTGATTCGCTCAACGTATAATTTCCCTTTTCAGATAAAATCTACATTAAGAGTTAGCGTTTTTAGGTAATTTGGGTTTCATATAATGTCACATTCATTGTATGATTGCATAACAAACATATTTTAGTAGATTTCTTGCATTTTAAAAGTGGAGAATAACCACTTCTTAATCTGATTGGCTTATCACCATAGTATACTCGTGATAAAACATCTAATTACCAATAATTATTTAAGATTTCAATATGATATGCTCGTTGTAAAATTTACGGGTTGTTAAATTTCACTCCTATAGTATCGAAATTGTATACTAATGGTAAGAATTAGGAGTGAATATTCCATTAATCTGCGATCCTTAATAGTTCCTTCAAAACCAATCATTTTAGGGAGCTGTAGATAGTTGAGAAAAAATCCTGCTCGTCATAAGTTTTATAGATGTTGACACTCACCAGCAAAGCTTACCTGGATTCTTGACGGAACTTGTGATCTAATGGGATTCGAAATCTTATTACCTAGCTCCAAAGTCTAGGGCGTTACCACTGAGCTATTCGGATAGTGACTAGATTCCTGTAGTGATTGACCGATCACTGAGTAGTGATTAGTGTAATGTTTGTTTAGTCTTTTAGTGCCGATCGGGTTGATAATGTCTCAACTCATGAAGTTAGGTGATGGGGCTAGAATTCTATAAGAAATAACAGTTCTCTCAAGATTTCAGGTAAGCTTTTCTGGAAAGTGTCAACTAGGACGAGACTCAGGTTGAGGTGAGTTTCCACTCTAACTTCCTCCAACCACCTAAAATCTTAACACAATTCACATGTTGAACTATTTAGACTAATAGTCGATAAAATTTAATAACCACCATAGTAATGAATAGGAATGAGACTGGCCACTACTCAGTGATCAACCAATTGTTAAAACTGATTGTATATCACGTAATTTACATTAAGAACTAATAGTTCATCATTTTTTAAAATCATTATTTCTACTTCAATCAGATTCAAATCGCATGGATAATCTATTTGGTTCATCTGAAGATCAGTCGGAAAATCAATATCCTGATATACAAAAACTTATTTTCAATGAAATATCCTCATCACAAACATTGTCACCATCTACACTAGCATCTAATACTGCTAACAATCTACTTTGGGAATACTTTTTGAATCGTTTACAAGATCCAAACAATTCTTTATTATCTAAATCACCATCTCTTGGAACCTCGACAATAACAACAAATTCATTACAAAATAGTACTAATAATTCTAATAACTCATGTTCAAATGATTTAATTAATCACCCTGATTTATTGAATTTGTCCAACCATCATTATTCTAATATGAATATAGACTTTCGCAAGTTTTTACAGTATACAAATTTGAAAGGGAAAGAAACAAGTTTAAATTTCAACTTTAACAATTCTTCTACCAATAACATTACTGCTACTACTACTATTACTACTTCAAATAATTCTCCTAGTAATCCACATCATACTACTACTACTGCCATAACAACATCTACGACGAATGGTCTGATATCGGATTCATTAGATAAACTTAAAGACGATTTATTATTGAACAGTACAAATTTAACTAATCCTAATGATCAAATGACAAAATTATCACAATCCGATTTGATCCATAACTATATTAAAAAATTTCAATCATTTGGAAATGAAATAAATTGTGTAAATAATGACAGTGATAGCAATAATGATAATAATAATAATATTACACAACAAATGATGCAATATTATGCTCTATGTGCATTTGTTCAGACTACTACACTTTTGTCAAACTCATCATCTTCCACATCGACATGAATACTTCATATAAAAATATATCACTTTGGGCATTAACACAAAAATGTGCATATACAAGTAGATTGATGGATAGACAGATAGATAAACAAACATTTATCCCTGTGAATACTCTCCTTATTGTGCATATATAAATAAGAAAAGTAAAGCCACATTCCTAAACAAAAATACATCGATGAATTACCTCATTGATACTACTGGTAAGTACTACTATTACTACCAATACAGTGATATTCATTTTCATCGTATATATATATATGGGTAGTTAATTAGAAATTTCCAAAAGAAAATTACCATACACAATCTGATATATATTTCAACCAATCTAAACACTTTCCTTCTAATATTACTATTAATAATAATACTACTTATAATAATGGTGATAACTGTTAATTTCTATTCTCATTTGTTTTTCTTTTTCTTCTGTATATTACTTTTCTTTTAACCTGTTTGTAATCTCCCGTTCTTTCTCATCCTCATTCTCAATTCATTTTGTGTTGGTGTGTTATTTTTGGTGTTAAGAATCACCACTTTTGATGATGAATGCATATCTTTTGGTGTATACACAATTAATATATGTTTGTATGTATGCTTGAAATTGTTCATCAGTTTTGAGTTAGAGCTGGGTTTTTTTTCTTCAAATGAACTTTCAATTATCGAATTACGCTTATGTATGCATAGAACTCAAACTATACAAATATACACATTAATTACAATTTCATAAAGGATCTCTTACAGCGTACATACAATAAAATACAGTTTGACTATAGTACATAGATCTGTGTATATGTTTGCCTGTCTATCTATCTATATATCCATGTATCTGTCTTTATGTATATATAGGCAAACGTCTTACAGATGTAATGCGTATTGTATTGTATTGTATTTACAAAATGAATATCTCATTTTTGTCAAATATCTGTCATATCGTCACATTATGTACTTCATATATATCTTAATTAACCTCTGCCTACCTCTATTATTTCTTATTTCATTCTAGTTCTGATTTTACTCGTTTGATTTTTGTGAATCGATGATGAATCCGTTTCGTTTTATTGTTTCCTGGGGGTTTGGGGATGATTCTTTCTTTTCTTTTTTCTATATATATAAATAAAGACGTATTTAATTATTTACTTGTCTCAGTGTTTTCCTGTTTCAAATATTAAATTTTTCTTTCACAGTTATATCCAAAACAAATTTTCAGTATTCAAATTGAATTCGGTTGATAATATTCAAATATGAATCGTGTACAGAGAGAAAAAAAAACGGGAGATTGTGAACTACTGCAGTTTTCATGATTATTTATTCAACTTTATAGTAAAAGCTTAATCAAATCAATTTTGAAAGTTTTATGTAATCAACGGATTGTTAATATCTGAACCAGTTACCTAGAGAGCAGTAAATTATTTTACTTGCAAATAATTAATCATTGAATAGGGATTAATGTCATGTTTATCTGGTCCTTTAGTGTTGAATAAATTCTATCGATTAATTTTTCTATTTGGCCGTTAGTCTAAGTGGTTCAACATCGCATGTACTATTCTGATTTGTTAAGCAGTTGGTAATAGCTATCAAAAAACCTTGACATTCGTCAACAAGCAGTACCTTTAGTCTTGAAGGAGCTGATATTCCACATGAAATTGTAACAAGAATCATCTAACTTCATAATCTGAGATGTTACCATTGAGATATTCAGGTGTCCTCTCAATTAATTACAACCACCTAAAGCCTACTTTAGACTTATTGCATAGTACATCGAGTAAAACTTCCTTTTCTCATCAGTTTTTTTTTTCAAAACAAGAATATCTGGTATTTTTGTCATATGAGAGGATCAAAAGAGCGAAATTAAGTCAATGCGAAAATCTATCAGCATGATAATAATTTACTCATCAACTGATGTTAAATTCCAACAGGTTCAAATCATGCAAATCTGATTGTAAATAAATATACTATAAAAAGTACCCTATTCAAATATCAATTTCATTTATTTGTGGGGTCAAATAAATCCATATCACCAGTCTTTGTGTTTTTACTAAAAGTCATTGAATTTGAGGCTTCAGTACTAAGCACAAGTTCGTTAAACATAAAATAGCCACAATAATTAACACATAACGGTTGCATTTTAATGAAATTTCTAAAAATGAAATATCCACTGACCCGAACCGACCAAGATATACCATCGTAGATACTGTCATTTAATTGTACTTTCAAGAAACTTAATACTTTTGACAAAACACTTTAAAACATGAAATTATATAAAAGTTTAGGTGAATTTTTCATTTAAGCTGGCTATAATTCGTAATCTTCATCGAAGATATTCACTTTCACCATTTTAGTCAACATTCATTCTATTCATACAAATAGAAATAACCTTATCCTTCAACAATTTCAAAAGAATTTATTCTTTAATCGATTAACTGTGTAAAATCGAGTTCAACTAAGATGAATTTTTTGAGCGGAGAGTTCTCTTTTCAACGAATTCACTTTCAAAGTTGTCTAACAGGAGTTTATTATCATCCTGAAGAAATAAGTATATGTACTTGCGATTATATAGCTTTGAAAATGAATTCTCCGAAAAGGGAATTCTTCGCTAAACCAATCTTTCTTACTTAAAATGAATCTTTAAAATGTATTTAAACTCACCTCAAGCTTATCAAATGCTTATAATATTCAGTATTTAAATTGAGTTAAAACATAAGTAGGAATCTATTGAGATTTCTAAACGCATACCAGTTGAAAATTATGCCACATAGAAATCCTCCTTCTCTTTTAATAGTAAATGAAAATGTGGTCATTGTTAGTAAATAAAACAAACAGACTACGTAAGTTTAATCAGATATGCTTTTGAAGGAAAAAACCCCATTTTTTATATCATGGAATGAGTGTGTAAACTATGTTTGGTAGTGACTAGTGTAACGAATCTTTTCAAGAGTTGAACATACATCACTCAAGGTTTTTGTGATATGAATATAGTTCGAATTTCATTGGGAACGTTAATCCCTTTAAAATACGAGACCCATGTAATTAAAAAGCCTCTTACAAATGACTTCCAACTAGTGGCCATATTGAAACTTGGTAAATAATATTCGATCAATACTAAGAACAAGGAAAACATGTTACTGATTATGACCCATGGAATTTTATTTATATTTCAGATAATTAATCTGTTAAATTTATATTTATTAAAATAGAGAGAAAAGAGAATTTCATTTCATTTTATATATTCATAACTAGTCAGTTAGTTGGTCAGTGTATCCTTGTATTTCGTTTGTATTCTCTGAATTCTCTTTTTCTTAATCAAATCTATTTGTAGTTGGAATTTGGATTCTGTAAGGAAAATTATTATAGTTCAACTATACCTGAAATTTTTACTCATTTTATCGAATCAACTATATCATCCTAATAGCAACTATCAGTTTTTTTGGAACGATTTTAAACAACAATATATATTTTATTGAAGATGCAGAAATGTTTCACCGACAAGTGATAAAGATTGACAAGTATATTTTCAACTTCTTTCAAACTTCTAGTTAGAATATATTCCATAATTCAGTGTATTATACGTTATCTATCTATCTATCTATCTATCTATCTATCTATCTATCTATCTATCTATCTATCTATCTATCTATCTATCTATCTATCTATCTATCTATCTATCTATCTATCTATCTATCTATCTATCTATCTATCTATCTATCTATCTATCTATCTATCTATCTATCTATCTATCTATCTATCTATCTATCTATCTATCTATCTATCTATCTATCTATCTATCTATCTATCTATCTATCTATCTATCTATTTGCCTGTGTCTGTCTGTCTATCCAATTGTCACTATATTTGTCTATTATCAACTGATCTGATGAACAGGTTAAATAAATTGACACAATTTCATTTGGTATTTAACTCGATTAATTAATTAATTATTAATCTGGTTTACTGTTTATTTTTATAACTAATAAGTTACATGAACAAAAAATAATCAATAAGTAGAATATTAAAGACTGAATAGATTAAACGAATAATCTCAACAGCAAGTTGTGTTTTTAGTCATTTATCTATTCTCTAATTGTTTGCTCTTGTCATATTACCTATGCGTTTTTGTGACCATATCGTTGATAATAAGTGGTGATTAGATATATATCCATTATCGATAGGAAGTCAATGAGTAACAAACTCAAAATTATATGTGTATTATCTAATTATTTATCTTTTTCACCATTTGACTTTTCTTCTCTTGCTCTTTTTCTGGCATTTATCGAAATCGAGAGAGAGAGAGAGAGAGAGAATGAGAGAAAGAAACGCCGATTGAAAAAGGAAATAAGTAACGAATTATATTTTTGTAGGAAAAAAAGTGCGGGTAAAATGACAATTCTTTGTTTCGAATTTACTTTTGCTTGAACTTGTTCATTCACATTTATTTTTGACTTATTCATAATCGATAAGAAAAAATTAATGAACAACAATAACAACAACAAAGAACAGAAGGGATATCATTGTATTAATAAATTTCTATTAATTCATGGAATTCAATTGAATAATCTGTGTGTGTATGAGAAAGAAAGAAAGAAAGAAAGAAAGAAAGAAAGAGGATATCAGTGAGTGAAATAACAAATTAGTAAATCAAATGCAAATTTTCCACATTATTCATTCATTAAAAGTTAATTTTATTCAAATAGTTTATGAATTTTAGATTATGTTTTCATAATGAGGGCTTGTTTTTCCCTCTTGTTAGTGGAGTTATGGAATAGCTTATACATAGTTTGTGTATTTCGTCCCGTTTAAGATAAATCTATCTACCAACCTTAACTGATCAATTCATCCATCAATATTGTGAATAGGCGAGTTGAAACAACTTACTTTAAAAGTGTTTTATATATGTGTGTATGGGTTGGGTTATTCTTCAGAATTTCAAATGGATCAAATGCTTCTCTTAGTTGACTTATTCTGAGGTTCCGATCTGAAAGCTTAATCCATAAAGAAGCGGTAACCAGTGAACAAAATATGTTAGTATACCATTCTATCCTTCAGGATCTTGTGATAAATGTATGCGATTAGTTTGAAATTAGGGTATTCCAACTCTCTCTTCATCTGTAAATATTACTTAAGTATCAGGCACCTGCTCTTTGTCCTTTAGCTTTCAGAAAAGATCCTCCCTCAGGTGTAGATAAATAGTAGGACTCTTTTGATAGGGACTAAATAACGCTTGGCCTGCCGGAATGTAGACTTTCTACTCCTGGTAATGGCAGGTCATTTGAAGGTTCGTGGCAAAACAAATGGTTTCGGTTCATGAAGTGTGAGTTACTCCGGATTGCTTAGCGAGATAATGACTTTTCAACCAGGTTCATGTATGTGAGGTTGACTGCAATTGAACATGTTATTTCATATGGTTAAACATCATTACAGATTATATAACTGCACTTGTTATTTATATTTTCTTCATACACTTTACTGATTTATTTCACTCGTTTATTTATCTATCCCTCTTCAGCTTAATCTTTACTTACTAATTCCCAAGTTGTGAATATTTGAACTATTTTTAAGTGGTAATTTTTATTTCCAACTGTACTGTTCTATCATTCTCATCAGAAAATCAAGTCAGTCAACATAATATTTTATAACTATACAAACTCGAGATCAACAGTCTATAGCAAGATAAAATAATAATCTAAGTTAGACAACCATTAGAAACAAAAAAAATCATCAGATACCTATTTCTTCCCAGTATGAGACTCCTCAGAAGTACACACTCACAACCTTACACTGGTGTTCTGATCCAGCATTTTCGGCTCCGCGCGTGGCAGCTTTAATTTTAGACCATTGAGCCGAGACCCAAAAGTGTGTACGAGTCTAACTAAAATCAATTTGTGAGGGGTAAAATATTCCCATGTGTTCAATGGTTATATAAACTTTATTGGTTCTTGGTCTCAATAAAACTCGACAATCTCTAAAATCTTCATAATTATAAAATAACGATGTTTGTCACCTGCTTACTTATCTTTAAATAGTCACTTATCAGTAAGTATTCATACAAACATAAACATTCTTTAAAAGCTGGTTTAAGGCAAGCACTTGAAATAGAGCTAAGGAATATGCAGCCTGATGATAAATGGTTGGAGATAGTTTACAGAGAATCTCTTTGAAACCAGATTTCGTCTTAATTGGCACGCATCATTAACAATAAATCGGAAATTTTTTAGAGAACTGATACTTCATGTTGGATTTAAACCAGTGTCGACCAGTTTGACAGTCTGATGCATTACG